AATGACAATGCTGCTGGTGCTGCCAATGACAATGCTGCTGCTGCCAATGACAATGCTGGTGCTGCCAATGACAATGCTGGTGCTGCAAATGACTATGCTGGTGCTGCAAATGACAATGCTGCTAACGTCGATGGTGAGGAGAACATTGCCCCAGCTGCTAAACGAGCCAAGCTCCAAGCTCGCAGCCCTGATCATCAGCCGCTGCCGCCGCCACCGCCTTCAAAGGCTTTCAAAAGCCTTCCATCCACTTCGTCAGGCGCATCATCTCAGGCCTCTACCTCTCAGCCTCTACCCCTGAAGCCGTCCTACACACCGTCCGACGCCTCAAACAGCCTTCCCATCTACATTTCATCGCCTTCCTCTGATGCGCGATCACCTTTGAAGACGACTTTTAAAAGAGTGTCTGGAGGATCCTACACCACTTTTCCCTCACCTGCGCAAACACCTATGACGACGACTAGTGAAAAAGTGGAAGGATCTTCTTCTCCTTCTCCCTCTCACGCTTCCTCCGCCTCCGCTTCTGCGGAGGAAAACGAGGAGGAGGACGAGGAAGAGGAGGACAAGGAAGTAGATGAGAAGGGGGACAAGGAGGAAGATGAAGAGATGGAAAAAGAAGAAGAAGTAGAGGGAGAGGAAGAGGACGAGGAGGAAGATGAAGAGGAGGAAATAGAAAATGTAGAGGAAGAGGAGGAAGATGAAGAGGAGGAAATAAAAGAAGAAAAAGATGATGATTGGGAAGAAGAGGAAGAAGAGGAAGAAGAGGAAGAAGAGGAGAAGAAGCGCCGCCAAAAACACACCGTAAAAAGACGCAAAATTCAGCAGGATCGTCTCGATGCCTCCTACGCAGCAAAGCAGTTACAACACGCTTCTACAAGTGCTCACAGAGACTCTTTCCTTAACCGACACCGTGCATCATCATCTCATGCGACTTGTTCCTTGCGCCAACCACCGTCAGCGACTCCCCTTCAACCCTCAATAAGCAGACTATTTGTAGCTGAAAAAACAGGAGTGCAAAATGCTCAGCAGAACATGGCAGCAGCTTTTCCTCTTCTCGCTTCTCAGTTGTTTCCTCCCAATAGTTATGAGCAAAAGCAGGCAGTCCAGAGCAATCTAACGGTTGAGCAGCGTTTGGACCTACAGGATGCACAGTTGTCAGATATGAAGTTGCAGTTAGAGACGTTTTATAAGCTAATGCAGCCGGTCTTTCAGCAGCAGCAGCAACAGCATCTTAAAGAACTTCAGAAGCAACAGCGTCAGCAAGAGTTGGAACAGCAGCGCAAACAAAAGAAACTTCTGCAACAACAGCAACTTCGACAACAGAAACGTCTGCAACAGCAGCAGCAGCAGCAACAGCAGCAACGTCAGCAAAAGCTGCAGGAGCAACGTCGACAACAGCAACGTCAGCTAGAGCTGCTGGAGCTACGTCAACAACAGCAACGTCAGCAAGAGCTGCTGGAGCTACGTCAACAACAGCAACGTCAGCAAAAACTGCAAGAGAAACGTCAGCAGCAGCAGCAGCAAAAGCAGCATTTGCAAAAACTTCAACAACAGCAGCAACAACATCAACAACAACAGCAACGTCTTCAAAAGCTTCAGCAACAGCAAAGACAACAGCAGCAGAGACAACAACAACATGAACAGCAGCAACAAAAACAGCAACATCAGCAACTTCAGCAGCAGCTGCAGCATCTTCCAAAGTTTCAGCAGC